AAAATTGTTTAATAAACTCAAAATTTATAATAATCAATTTAAAATTATTTTAATCCACATATTATATTATTTATTTTTTATAATCTTTTTGACATTAATTAACATAATATATTTATAAAGATTTGTTTTAATTATACTAGAAGGGTACTCGCGCAATACAGCGAGATACATCTTAATTTCAATATTTCATTTTATTATTTATCTCAGTCGATGTTATAGTATGGTTTTATGTGATATTGAAAAAGCGATGATGTTTTTGTTTTTATTTTTATCATAAAAATTTAACAAAAATATATCGATATTAGTATCAAATTAACTATTTAAAATTCCTATTTTTTGTTATAATTTAATTTAGGTTCAATAACGAAGTAATTTATATTTAGTTTAATAATAATATAATATAATTTTCTTATAAAGATAATAATTAATTGTTTTGTTAGAACACTATCATTATAATAATTATATTTTAGATTTTTTATATTTTAAAATGAGATGTTTATCCTCGATTTGATTATGTTTATCCACAGTTAGTTACACGAATTCAAACATGAAACTTTAAGAAGTTATACTTGTGCATAATTTGCTTGTAATATTGAACTTTAAGTAATATTCATCAATATACGGTACTTCATGCATAAAAAAAATAGTTTTTAAGAATTTTATGAAATGTTTTATAATATAGTATAGATTATAAAATATTGTAATTGATTAACTTTTTAAGATGTTTTTTTTTTATTATTTTACATGTTTATAGTTTACTTCCTTTAAATTCTTAAATAAATTCAAAAGCTAAATAGAACCCCGAATGAGCATTGTAATGCTACGTTATGCAAATAACAAAATGTATGGATCATTTTGACAATTCAGGAATAGTGTAGGGTTGTTTTTGAAAATTGCAGACTGGATTTGCTAAAAGATATGGGAATTGAACCCGACGTGAATCGAACACGCAACCTTCTGATCTGGAGTCAGACGCGCTACCATTGCGCCACGGATCCTGTGGATGCTATCTCCTCTAAATATAGATATATAATTAATAACAAAATATTGGAAAATAAATAAATTAATAATTATTATAATTTTAAAATATATAAATATACCATTCTTTTAATTGTTTTCATATACTAATATGTTATGAAATAACGTACCGTCATCTTCTCAAAATAATTGTGACCAATAACAGTCTAGCAAAGCTGAAAAGACTTGTGAAATGGGAGAGCGAAGATTTTACATTACTGCTATACTTTATTTGCTTTGGAGTAGAGAGAAAGAATCAAAATTTTGAATTTATACTAAAACCCAGATTAATATGAGATGCCACAAAACCATGCTGATAATCGTCACAAGTTTTTGAACTATGAATACTCACAAAGTGTTCAACTGAAAAATAATAGTTTGTACTTCAATTCTGAATATAATTAAATGCATACATTTAATTATAGATCATGTAATCATTAATTTGTGCATCACTTGAAATTGTGCCATGATTTGGCCTTAGGCTTCATTTACTTCAACCAAACCCATCAAAGGTGCTTTGATTCAGGGGCGGACCTAGTGTGTCGCCATGGGTGGCACGTGCCACCGTATTATTTCGCCTCCGAAGGGTAAAATTTTTAGGTTTGTTAATGGTGCTATCGTATCGTTTCGGAAGGTGCTACCGTATTTTTTATAAAATTCTAAGAGTGCAACTAAAGCCCAAATAAAATGCAAAAATAAGCCCAAATAAAATCTAATGGTCCATTAACTAAAGCTCTAAATCTAATGGTCCATTAACTAAAGCCCCAAATCTAATGGTCCATTAACTAACTAAAGCCCCAAACCCAAATCTGTGACCTTGTTACAGGCTTACARCGTGCGTGAGAGAGAGTGAGAGACAGCGTTTTGGTGAGGCGTGAGCGAGTGTCGAATGTCGAGTGAGCGTGAGCGAGTGTCGATTGTGTATTTGTGTGCGACTGCGACAAGCCGACAGGCGGGGGACCACACACAGGCACCGAGAAAAGAGAATCGATTCAATTTTGGAATTGGAACTCAACTCGCTCGGCTCGCCATCGGTACTGACTCACACTCAAATCTCAATCACTTATTTGATTTAGGTTTAGGTTATACAAATTGATCATTCTTTTATGTTTACTGTTTACTTGATTAGGTGATTAATTGTTTAGGTTATACAAATTGATCATTCTTTTAT